TCCAATATAACGACCCCAAATACACCTCTAAGACAACAACTGCCTTGCTAAAGAAGCTGAAGGTAAAGGTGATGTAAGTAAATCATGTCTCCAAACCTAAACCTTATTGAGCATCTGTGGGGCATCCTCAAAGGAAGGTGGGGGAGCGCAAGGTCTCTAACATCTACCAGCTCTATGATGTCGTCATTGAGGAGTCAAAGAGGACTCCAGTGGCAACCTGTAAAGCTCTGGTGAACTCTATGCCCATGGGGGTTAAGGCAGTGCTGGAAAATAATGGTGGCCACACAAAATATTGACACTTTGGGCCCAATTTGGACATTTCCACTTAGGGGTGTACTCACTTTTGTTGCCAATGGTTTAGTCATTAATGGCTGTGTGTTGAGTTATTTTGAGGGGACAGCAAATTTACACTGTTATACAGGCTATACACTTACTACTTTACATTGTAGCAGAGTATCATTTCTTCAGTGTTGTCACATGAAAAGATATAATAAAATATTTACAAAAATGTGAGGGGTGAGATATATATATATATATATATACACACACACACACACACATACATACACATTCAGTAAAGTAAGAATTCAAAGTGAAATTTAAGCTCAGTAGTCAAGCTAAATCCATAGCTGACTTCCATAGTAATTCACTAAATTCTAAATGGCCCCGTATCAAATGGGGTAAAACCATTCAGCTGCATATGTGGCCATTCGGACTGCAAAAGCACATGGAATTTAACAATTATATGAAATTTCAAGGATTAGTGCATATAAAAAAAACAAAGACAATGCAAGGACAATGCAAGCAACTAAGAGTTGCTGAGAGTTCACAAATCGTGACATTATGCTCAAGCACTAGAGATCACTAAAACATGATCTGAACCGGTTTCCAGTGGTCAAATTGCAAATATTCTTGGTCTGGATAACTGCTTCTTAAAGATAAGAGAAAAATTTCCTTTTTTCCATAGAACAAGCGTTAACTGTGCAATGCAGGCTTCCTCAAACTCCGGCCCTCCAGATGTTGCTGAACTACAACTCCCATGAGTCTATGAATGAAATAAATAGGCTGAGAATCATGGGAGTTGTAGTTCAGCAACATCTGGAGGGCCGGAGTTTGAAGAAGCCTGGTGTAATGTTTTCTTTTCATTTGATAAATAATAAAAACAATATGACTGTTTCCTTTTAAAGGAGCACTATAGTTTCAGGAACACAAACATTTATTCCTGACACTATAATTCTAAAACCACCATTTAGGTGGTCTGCCCATCTTAGCTTGGGTTAAAAAGGTGATTTCCTCATCTTTTTCCAGTGCCACATGGGGCTCTTTGTGTCTGGCCCTGCCCCCAATCCCATAGGAAAAATTGGATTGGCTGCGATCGTCAATTCTGATGATCTCCACCAGGGAGGTGAGGCAGGGGAGGAGCCAAATGCCACCCTGGACAATCAACATCTCCTGATACAGATGCATTGAATCAATGCATCTCTATGGGGAAAGTTCAGCATATCCATGCAGAGCGTAGAGACACTGAATGTCAGTGCTGCACACTGTATAGCACACTGTATAGCACTGGCCCACTGGCCCAGGAAGCACCTCTAGAGGCTACCTGAGGCGTGGCCACTGGAGGTGTTTCTAGGCAGTAATGAAATGGCTGGGTTTACATTAAAAAGCCTACAGGGACATACTATACTCATCAGAACAACTGCATTAAGCTGTAGTTATTCTAGTGACTATAGTGTCCCTTTAAGAACTAGAGTTAATCAGGGATAATACAATATTTTGCAGACAATAAAAATGATAAAACAGAATTTCACTGAGGGATTCACATCCCATTGTTTAGTAAAACCCTAACCTCAATGCGCTCTGCCTTTAGTGCTTCATTTTAATAAAAGTGCTAAATAATACATAACACGCACCTGGAGATATTTAAATATGATTCCAGGAGACACATATGTATCTTATTTATAAAGCATATATCACTGAAGGGGATTTCAATATTTATGCACTGAGGAAAGAAGAATGCCATCAGCCAATTATTTTCAAGGTTATAAGTTCCATTATGGCTGAAATATTAGATTGTTTTTGTTATCTTTAACAGGCGACGGCTAAGCCGTGCACTCCGTATGTTAAACAACTACATTTCCCATAATCCTTACACAGGGTTAAGACTTTCCTAACCATTTTAGGAAATGCTTTTCAGAAACATAATGTAGTAAGTTTTTTTTTAAATTTAAAATTTTATTATAACTAATAGAGACTTAATGAACTTGGATTTGGTTTTAATAAAATGTCCTTTACTATATTTCTTGTGTGACCTTTTTGTATATGGTGTGTTATTCTGGATGCGTTATTCTCACACGTTGACAGGTTATTAAACAGTTAAAATAATTAATAAATAAAATACGCTATTCCTTGTCTGTTATTATTTTAGTTATAAAGTGGTAACACATTGCACAGCAACGTACAATGAATCAGAGGAGGAAGGTTATTCTAAAAGTGGTGTAGCACCTGATAAATCTTGCAAGAAATATCTAGGGATGAAGTTACTTGAGAGATGACAGTTAAATTAAAAAAAATTATAATAAGAATACATCCTAGCCATTTGTGATAATATTTTAGGGAATCACAAGCTGTTTTCCACAAAGTCATAATTTTTTACATTTGATTTGTGTCTCATACTTATCAGAAGCCAGTGTTAAAATATTTCTTCTATTCCATTCTCTAATCACATCTTACTGTGACATCTTTGCTATTTGTTAGTTCATAGGTAGGTAGCAGGAGAAACTCCCATTCTTACATTAAACTAATTCACCTAAGTTCAAGGGCAACAGAATTATCGGTGCCAAAGACAAAGTATTAATTAGTGTGTAGCATTCAATAAGATCCACCTCTTTAACTTGCTTATTAGAAATTTAGACTTTGGACTCAATACAAGCCTGGTAGAACATATTCACTGTGCAATAAACACAAGTGTATGATGAACCTAAGAGTTTTGTTACATTGGTAGGGGGGCTTGCACTCTATTTTAATGTAATGGTAAGAAAAAACACATTTATTTAAAGGGACAATACAGACCCTTAAAGCATGTGAGCTTGCTGAAGTGCTTTATGTGTAAAGAGAGTGTCCTCTTTTTCTATTGCAGTTTTCAATAGAAATTGATACTTTTATAAATCAACCAGATTACACCCGCTGGCTGTCAGTCAGACAACCGGTCCTGTTACTTCCTGGTTTGGTTAGCTCAGCTGAGATAAACTCAAGAGGCAGCAATTGCTCAGAGCACCTGCCTTGCAAAGAATTCTCATTGAGCTACATTTGGAAGGCTGGGATTGGACAGTCACAGAAAGTCTGGGTGGGATTAGAAGGGGAGGGTTTGCAAAGGCTGTAGACAAGAGATCTACCGTTTACTCCAATCAATAACATGCATAATTAAAAGCATGCACATTTATTTTGTGGTATAGATTTACTAAGCAGTTATTTTTATTTTTATTTGGGCAGTGGATTGTCTCTTTAAATATAGACAAGGTTTTTGGGGTAGTGTGAAGGTTATGTTTTTTTGGTGCACTGAGGTTAAATACAGCCTCATCAAGTTAAAGGTTTAATTGTGCCTAACCTTTCCATGGGGAAGTTCACTTTTTAGAAATAAATAATAAATTAGTTTCACAAAGACTTTTGTGTTACATCAGTGAGTTATTAAATCATTTCTTTATAGCATTTAATATGCTAATCAAGTAAATAAGAAAAGTTGAAACAATTAAATTGAAGAAACAAACAGCATAATTAACATTCTGAATAATTACAAAGGCTAAATGTCACATTGAAATGTATGAGGAATGCAAAAACGCATTAGTGATCAAATGCAAATTTCTACGTAAAAAAATGAGAGCTATAAAGAAAAACAAAGAAAATGGTTTTGAAATTCTCAGATGTCCTGATTATCTGTCACTTTGTTGACAGTTCATAATGTGGCAATGGTTGACTTAGAGAGATGCATATTAGAAGTTTGTTTGAGATACATCCTTTACTGCTTCCTTCTGCTAAAACCACTGGCTAATAATGTATATTTGGTAGATTCACATCTTTCCTTTTCACTTGTTTTGATTAAGTAGAACATGTTTTGCAAGTGCTTTCAGTAACTATGTTATGTTCTCATTAATAATGTCCGACCACTTCAAGGTCTGGCTTCCTGTTTGTTGATTGACAGCTGACTCAGGGTAATCACCTTTCAATTGTTTATAAATCTTGGAATTTTTCTATTTATCATTTTGGAATAAAGTTAACACTTTTTTTCAGTATTATTAATCTATTTGTATTTCATGCCTCTTCCTATCTTTCATTCATGGTGTCCTGTGGAGAAACAGAGTATATTTGGAAAAAGTAGACAATAATTAAAATCATTTTTGCTTGTCTTTCCAAAGACTTTGTAAAATATTAAGCAACCTACCTTTTAATTGGACACATCACTTAAAAGTAAATCCTGCATCGTTGTGCTTGCCATGACATGGAGTACAGAATTAGAAAAACTTTAGTTACATGGAATTAATAAGTTTAATAATTTATGTGTTTGTTTTGGAATTAAAATGTGTTAAAAAAAACAGGGGGGCGGGGCCTGACTGCGATGGTGGCTGGAAGCATTTCCAGAGAGCTCCGGGCAAATCGATGAACCTAAGCTACTTACCCACACTACCGGAGCTCTGTCAGAGACAGACAGCAAAGCATTGAACGCCAGATGACAAGCGACAGGCTTTGCACGATCAGCAGCAGCCGTCCATACTAACCCCTTTAGGAGGCTGGAGTGAGTCCTAGCAAGCAGCGCAGAGGGGAGAGGCGGCCGCTCTCCCAGACAAGCACAGGTGAACCTCTGATTAACTCCTGATGGCACCCTGCAACACCCCCCTATGGACCGGCGGGGAGATCCCGGTCCCCACCCTAGAGGCTCACTCCCTCCACCAGGACTAAACGACCCTGCCTCAGACAGCATGGACACCCCACATGGCATACCAAACATGGCGGACGCTGCGGACTCCACGCCTGACTACGGCATTGTGAGGCTCAGAACGCTGGCATTCCTGGACAAACTCCTAACCGACTTCAGGGGGACGCTGTCCCCCCGACAACCGACACCCGCCCTACAAACCTCGCAAGTGCACCTACCTAAACTCGCTCCCCAGCAGCCTCAGAAGAGGCAAAGCACAAAGGAAGCACGAAAACGGCGACAAAGACCGGGTCGGTGGAGCACAGAGGGCAGGAAGCACAGGCCTGCATCAGACAGTGGAGCCTATGGAGCCAGCAGCCAGAAGGACAAGCAGAATGAAGCAGGGAGACGAGAGCAGGGGATACAGAAGAAGACACTAAACATCATGGACACTGCATCGACCTTGTTTGGGTCACTACGCCTCATAACTCATCCCAATACCTGGTACTGTACTCTGTCCATGATGGGCATAGGCTGAAAGCATAGAAGGTTGTTGGATCCACAATCACATTGTGGCAAACCTAGCCACTTGTGGGATGCTGGACTATATGTATAAAAAAGTTGTCTGTAATAACCGCTGTAATGTATATGTAAACCTGGGTTGATACTGTGATGTGCATGGAATTCATATGCTAGCAGCCGAAAGCCGCTAGCATTCATGTGTTTCGTTTCACGAACAGAGACGTTACTGGCTGTTCATGAACCGAATGAGCTACCCCCTAATAGCCCACACATAGAGGGACGTGTGGCGCCCGGTAGTTAAGGGCTCTCCTAGGTGGCCGTCGTTTGGCTACCGACCACGCGGCGGGTTGGCCATCTTGGATCCTTTGTCTCACCAGTGGTGTTTGGTCGTCGAGGGCGTGGAACTGAAAACGGCTACTCGGCGGCGCGAACACCGCTGGACTTCCAGGCCGTTCGGGAGCTCCGGTTTTCGCTGTTGTGGTTCCCCATCGGTGTTCGGTACTTTTGGGTGAACTCAATGGCAAAGTGTATTTCGTGCGGCGTTCGGTTGTTTTAGCTGGGATCTGAGTGGTGTTCCCATGAAATATGCACTAAGACCCCAGCTATCTACCGAACGTCCGTTCGTTTGAATAGACTAAGTATTGTTAAAGTTGTATATTTTAATGTAAAATGCTGGTTCTGCTGCACGGAGGGATAATCCACTTAACGGTATATTCCAGTGGGAGTATACCTCTCGTCCAGCAGTGCCTAATGGGAGAAATGTCCAGAATGTTGAGTCCCCTATGTAGTCCCCTACTGTATTACCCCTGCTGTGTCAGTAGGGAAACCCCTTGCATGGGGACTTGCATAAATACTGTGACCTCTGAATAAAAACCACAGTTGACTCCCAGAACTGTGTTTCATCCGATTACTGGGGGATTTGGGATATTGCCTTACTTTTCTGTCGATTACCTTCTTTACCAGCGGAGATCGTGGAATTTAATATTGCAGCTCCGCTACACACATCACACTCAGTCAGGAGAACTAAACCTTCATTACCGAAGATTACACCACGTGTCCCAAACATCCTCACACTAGCACCTACCACTACAGTCACTCAGGGTGGCAAACTTAGCTTGCATAACACCTTTAAGATGTAGATTAAGGTATGTTTACTTATACAGTTGCAAGAAAAAGTATGTGAACCCTTTGGAATGATACGGATTTCTGCACAAATTGGTCATAAAATGTGATCTGATCATCATCTAAGTCACAACAATAGACAATCACAGTCTGCTTAAACTAATAACACACAAAGAATGAAATGTTGCCATGTTTTTATTGAACACACCATGTAAACATTCACAGTGCAGGTGGAAAAAGTATGTGAACCCTTGGATTTAATAACTGGTTGAACCTCCTTTGGCAGCAATAACTTCAACCAAACATTTCCTGTAGTTGCAGATCAGACGTGCACAACGGTGAGGAGTAATTCTTGACCATTCCTCTTTACAGAACCGTGTTTCAGTTCAGCAATATTCTTGGGATGTTTGGTGTGAATCGCTTTCTTGAGGTCATGCCACAGCATCTCAATCGGGTTGAGGTCAGAACTCTGACTGGGCCACTTCGGAAGGCGTATTTTCTTCTGTTTAAGCCATTCTGTTGTTGATTTACTTCTATGCTTTGGGTCATTGTCCTGTTGCAACACCCATCTTCTGTTGAGCTTCAGCTGGTAGACAGATGGCCTTAAATTATCCTGCAAAATGTCTTGATAAACTTGGGAATTAATTTTTCCTTCGATGATAGCAATCCGTCCAGGCCCTGATGCAGCAAAGCAGCCCCAAACCATGATGCCCCCACCACCATACTTCACAGTTGGGATGAGGTTTTGATGTTGGTTTGCTGTACCTTTTTTTCACCACACATAGTGTTGTGTGTTTCTTCCAAACAACTCAACTTTGGTTTCATCTGTCCACAGAATATTTTGCCAGTACTGCTGTGGAACATCCAGGTGCTCTTGTGCAAACTGTAAACGTGCAGCAATGTTTTGTTTGGATAGCAGTGGCTTCCTCTGTGGTATCCTTCCATGAAATCCATTCTTGTTTAGTGTTTTACGTATTGTAGATTCGCTAACAGGGATGTTAGCATTTGCCATTGACTTTTGTAAGTCTTTAGCTGACACTCTAGGTTTCTTCTTCACCTCATTGAGCAGTCTGCGCTGTGCTCTTGCAGTCATCTTTACAGGATGGCCACTCCTAGGGAGAGTAGCAGCAGTGCTGAACTTTCTCTATTTATAGACAATTTGTCTTCCAGTGGACTGATGAACAGCAAGGCTTTTGGAGAAACTTTTATAAGTAACAATTATGCAAGTCAACAATTCTTAATCGTAGGTCTTTTGAGAGCTCTTTTGTGTGAGGCATCATTCACATCAGGCAATGCTTCTTGTGAAAAGCAAACCCAGAACTGGTGTGTGTTTTTTATAGGACAGGGCAGCTGTAACCAACACCTCCAATCTCATCTCATTGATTGGACTCCAGTTGGCTGACATCTCACTCCAATTAGCTCTTGGAGATGTCTTGGAGATGTCATTAGTCTAGGGGTTCACATACTTTTTCCACCTGCACTGTCAATGTTTACCCGGTGTGTTCAATAAAAACATGGCAACATTTAATTCTTTGTGTGTTATTAGTTTAAGCAGACTGTGATTGTCTATTGTTGTGACTTAGATGATGATCAGATCACATTTTATGACCAATTTGTGCAGAAGTTTTTTTCATTTACAGGATACCCCTATAGTTCAGGAAGGGGTTATGATGGCTGAGTCTTCCAAATTCGATAGACATAAATGTAAGCCTAAGAGCACGTTTCTTCCTCCTTCCATTAAATGCTAGTGTGGAAACATTTATTAAATGATGTCAGATGGATATGGACAAAATTAATTGGAAGAAGAAGGGAAGGTCGAATTTAAGCAGACATGAATATGCTATACTTATGGGGTTGAGAAAAGATACTACCATTTCTATAAGACCAGCTGACAAGGGAGGAGCACTGGTAGTGATGAATACGAGTGAATATGTTGCTGAGATGAGCCGTCAATTGACTAATGAAAGTCACTATAGAGTCTTGGAGTATGATCCTACAGGTGAGGTAAAGGAGCGAATCAAGGTAATCACGGGTGTGGCTTTGGAGAAGGAATTAATTGAGAAAAGCGATTATAATTTCTTAAATACGGATCATCCGAGAATCCCGTTTATTTACCTGCTCCCTAAGATACATAAGAACTTGAGATACCCACCTGGTCGCCCTATAGTGTCAGGATGCGGATCGGTTTTACAACCATTACCTAAATTTGTTGACATACATTTGCAATCTCTGGTCTCCAATCATTTGTGCAAGATACAACGGATTTCATCAAGAAATTAGAATGTGTTAGAGTTATTCCTGAAGGTGCGTTATTATGCACCATGGACATTAATAGTCTTTATACATCCATCCCACATGAGGAAGGCATTGAGGCAGTGTTTGGAGCAATGCAAACACTGGAAATTAGTGAAGCTTATAGAGACTTTTTGTTGGAGTTATTGGCATTGGTATTACATAAGAATTATTTCACACTTGAAGGCAAGTTTTACTTGCAGATACAGGGTAGTGCGATGGGGTCCAATGTGGCCCCCATGTACGCCAATTTATTCATGGCTGCGTTTGAGGATGCATTTGTATACCCTGATCCATCTTTTGCAAAATTTGTGTTGAATCGGGTACGCTACATAGATGACATCTTCTTCTTTTGGACAGGTACGGCTGAGGAGATACTTTGCTTTAAAGAAAGATTGGATAATACATTGGATCCGATATCTTTCACTATAGAATATGATGTGCACAAAATGCACTTTTTGGATGTATCCATGGAGGTAAGTGAAGGACAATTGAGCTTTGATCTTTATCAGAAGCCCACTGATCGTACGTCATATTTACATGCGGATAGCTTTCATCCACCACAATTTTTGCAAAAATTACCATATGGACAATTTATTAGAACTCGACGGATTACAACACGAGACACAGATTATGATAGACGTGCAGGCGTTTACCTTAAGGGGTTACGAGAAGGAGATTTTGATAGAATGCAAGGATAAGGCTAGATTGTTGGCCAGGGAACAACTTTTGACTAAAAGAGCTAAGGATAAGAACATGAGGATTCCATGTGTTACTACTTATTCTGAACATTCAAAGGAGATTAAACATATTGTGAATCAACATTGGAATATACTACAATCGGATCCCAAAGTTAGGATTTGCTTTAATGAGAAACCTTTGTTTTCTTTTAAAAGATACATAAATCTTCGCGATCATTCAATGCGGAATGTGGAAGTCCAAGGAAAGATGGGGACTAAGGAATTGTGGCTTAGAATGCCTGTTGATATGTACAAATGTGGACACTGTGTGAATTGTAATGGGGTAATTCTGGGCGATTCCTTTCTTCATCCTAGATCTGGAAAGAAATATCCTATTCGGGACTTTTGCAATTGTCAAACGGAATTTGTAGTTTACATGTTGAAATGTCCTTGTGGCCTAGCCTATGTTGGGGAGACCACGAGGAAATTCACCATTATGATAGGGGAACACAAGAGTAGCATTCGGACTGGTAAGATCCAATATCCAGTGGCTAGGCATTTTGTAGAAATGCGACATATGGTGTCACAATTGAGATATTCGATTCTAGAGGTAGTGAAACCTCTGAGAAGAGGTGGATCTAGGGAAATGTTATTGAAGCAGCGTGAATTATTTTGGATTTATGAATTGCAGGTTTTATTCCCTAAGGGTCTTAATGAAGAACGTGATCTCTCTCCTTTGTTGTAGCCTCGTTTGGAGAGGCTGGTTAATCCACCCTGCCTGAGTAGTGTTTATATCATTGATATTGTTTTTAATTGGTGTTTATTTCATCTAGATCGCGTATTGATTTCCATTTGGATACTTAATAAAGTGGGTACTTGGATGGCAGCGTGTACCGGACCAGGAATGGAGTACAGTTTTTTC